GGTTGATCTGTCGTGCGTTGTGGAGAGTGGAGACAGAGGAGGCATGGTGGTCACCTCTCTAAATCTTGGATTTTGTTGCTCGCCTTGTTCAAATTCAATCAATCATACCGGTTTTGGCACATTGGGTAAGCTCGAAAAACATTCCCTCCCCTTTTAGCTAGATTGTGATTTTAGGAATAAATTGATAAATATCTCTGATTTCTGCCTTTCTCCACTGGCCGAGAGGTTTGGGAAATGCGAAGTGAGGGGAGATAAAAATCTCTAACTGAAGTTTAGTTGCTGAACACTTGAAGTTACTTGAGAGTTTTGCCTTTCTGCTTTGCTTTCTGCCTTTCACCGGATTGCCTTTGCCTTTCGAGTTTCTTCATTGGCCGAGAGGTTTGGTTATTTGAGTACTTGTAGTTGAGACGGAGGCATAGTGTTAGATGTTAGAATGATGATTGAATGTTTTTGCTTTCTCTGCTCTACTGCTGTTTGGCTAATAATTAGAAGTGTTAGAAATTAGAATAATGAATTGATGATTTAATTAAATTATATTATTTTAATATCACCTGTCTGACCCCTGGTCTGACTAGTGACCCTTGACCCACTGCCTTGACTGGTTTAGTCCCCAATCCGGTTTTTTTGTTTCTTTTGGGCATTTAATGCTCTTTTAAAGGGGAATTTATAGATTTACCCCCAAAAATAAATCATATTTCTTTTTTATCACACACCAAGATATTCTTTTAATTCTAAGGCAGAATGGAAAAGTTTTTTTAATCCTTTTTATATGTCACTTCAATATTTTCTCACTGACAAATATTTTTATTTTATAATTGTCATTTTAATTATTTTTTAACAGTTATCACATTATTATCATATAATATAAAACACTACAATTCAATAAAGCTAATATCCTTTTTAATCATTTTACTTCTAAATTTACTTTTCTATTAATCCTCCAAACAAGTTTCAACTTTTTCAACTGACTTTTTATAAATGTCAATTCAAACATAAATCACATTATACTAATTGATTTTTACTTTAATTTAATTTTACAAAAATTAGTTGAATTAAAAGTCAGTTTTGCCACTATTAATCCAAACACATTCTGCCCTGATGACAACTAGCTTTTGGCATTCTTTGATAAGCCATCTATTGCTCTTTTTTTTCCCCCTCCAAAAGAAAAAGATCAATCTATTCATAAGATAAAACGGCACAGAACAAACTTCGGCCATATTACATGACACTAGGACAAACTCATTGCAAACGAGGCCTAGGCTTTATGCTTCAGGATATCCATAGAACTTATAAAATATAATTGATATAAGACAACATAATTATTAGTGTCTTGTCAAAATGTAAGCTTCAAATAATTAAATTACACAACTTAAAAAAGTTAGTTAAATTTGATTAAAGGTAATAAATATGCCAAAAATGTAATTTATTTTTCTAAAACATCTTTATTTATGGAGGGGATGAGTGGGAGAGAGAATGGGTGAAAACAAGATGTTAGAGAATAAATGGAAAAAAAAAGAGAGAGACATTTATTTAATTAGGGGTAAGCATAGAAAAAAAATACATCAAGTGATTAGATGAATTCAAATCGAAGCTTATTAAAAAAAAGTTAGACTTATTCAAAGATTCAACTTATATTTTAAATCAGGGGAGTATAATATTATTAAACAATATAAAATTCAAATTAAAAATTATCTACAAGTGCCCGTTGAGAAAATTAAATACACAGAAGTAGTAAGGAATTAAATATTTTTTGTTACAAAATTGACCTGTAAATGGTATAACTTAATTTGCAAATATGGAAGTCTGACTTGTAAATATAAATTGTTAAATTTGACTTGTAAATATATATATAACTTGTAAATATGAATTTTTTTGGGGATATTTTTGTATTTAATTTTCTTACCTAAACCCTATTGGTAATTTTCCTAAATTTATTTATTTTTCTTGGATTAATGAAAGTATAACTTGTAATTTATGGAAGCCCTCTCTTCGAGCACTTTGTAGGGTGGGACATTACTGAAAAAATAGGGCTGCCCTTATGTGATCATCATTTCAAATTTAGAAAAGTTGGCTTTGTCAACTAGGATGGTATGGCCAACGAGATTAGGTCTGCTAGAAGGAAGTATTTTCTTATAAATGGTGAACTAATGTTTAAATTTTTATTGGGAGAAGTGTTTACGTTTAGTGCTTGATAGTGTCTCAAATAAGATTATCTCTGATAAGAGAATACCTGTGCTTAACAAAAAAAAAAAGGGTTAAAAATCGATCTCAATAATTGAGCATGAAATGAGCCCAAGGAGTCAAACTGGAATAGTGATATGAAATAAATTAATTCTAATGAACTCAAGGACATATGAGATTTAATTTGATTTTAAGAATAAGATCTCAATTCAATTTATCTCTAATATTTATTCATTTTGTCCCCAATCCCAACATCAATAGGTAGTTCTAATTCACATAATTAATATTTAATAAGAGTATTGTAGGAAAGAAAATATTCATTTAATACAAATAATTACTTTAACTAATTTCATTAATATTTACAAATTAGTTATCTACTTCTTATATTAAAGATTAAAGTTAGTATTATTCAATCAATCAATGAGGGTTGGGTCTAGCAGAAGGGAGTAACCTCTCACAACATGATAAACCAATGTTTAAATTCTTATAAGGGGATATATTTACATTTAGTGCCACACAGTGCCGCGAATAAAATTACATAGAGGATGTTTGTGCCTAGCAACAAAAAAAAAGTATTATTCAATAAAATAAATTGGGGTGGGGAAAAAAAAAGGCAGTTAACTGTCTTAAAGAGTATATCGAGCAATTAACTGTCAATCACTGGAGAGTTGCGCCACAAATTTGTGGGTTATACCGAGCTGTTATCTTTCTTAGGTGGATTGAAATCGTGCATTAAAATTGTGGGTGGTTTTGGGACTAAATTAAATTAAATTTGCAATATTACATTTTTTGGGAAAATTTAAAAATATTATACTTCCCCTAACTAAACTTCCTACATTTTCTCCCTCACTCTATTTTTAAAACTCATATAAATTTTTAAATTTCACTAAATTAAACGGAAATTATCTCAATTTTTACAAATTACATAGATAGCTATTGAAATAAAATAACCTAAGCATGGATTAATTTGGTCAAAATTAAAATTTTAGTTTTAAAATTGACGCAAAATTTAATTGAAAATAAAAAATATATAATTTTTTATAACTCTGTCTAGAAAATAAAAAAATAATTTTAAACAATTCAAAGGAATTTTTATAATTAAATTTTATTTTAGAATAAATTTATGTGAGTTTAAAAATAAAAAATCCATGTAATGTTAATATAGTTTAAATAAAAAGTCTAGATGGTCTTTGATTTTTTTTTTAACCTGTGAAAGTGGTACTCATGATTGCCTCTTCGGCAGAATGCATGTGTGTAAGCCAAAAAATTATTGTAGTAAGACTTTTAATATAATCAATAAAATCTTCATTAAATTATAATATAAGCAAATATAATAATGTTTCTTATTCTTTTGTGGGGAATAAGCTTTCCTAACATCTTAATATACTAATTGCTAAGGTATCAGATAAAAAATTTAACATATTCTAACTTGGTCTATTTTACATATTGAATAAAATTTTTCGTAGTGGTATGCCCTTTGTTGTAATTCTTTTAAGTAGAATATGATTTCTTTTATTTTTCTTAATTTTTTAAGTATCTACTCTTATATTTATATAGATATGTAATTATATATGGATTAAATGGCTTTTGTTAAGTGATTTTGAGGAGTGAGACTTATAATACAAAAAAACAATATTAAGCTCTACCAAAATCCCATAATCTATTTATAAACTATAAATTATAAATAATATCACTCGTGCCTCACAATCTCATGAGAGATACATTATTTTCTACATAATTTAAGATCTGACTAATTTTAAATTGATAGAGATTATATTAGTTTTTTATTAATATATTATGATGTTTTAATTTTTGACATTATCTAAGTAACATTTATTTTGGTCATTTGAGCCTACACGACTTATTCTGATAAGATATGTAACGTGTTTAATTTTTCGTTTTGGTGAATAAATTTGATTATATATATATATATATATATATATAAAGTCAGCGATATAAATCAAGGAAAAAAACTTAATGATATAAATGGATACTCCGATGTATAAATAGCTATATTAATAATTACGTTTATAACAAAATCCTGTCATGAATGATTGACAGATTTAATTTTGGAGGAAAATAATATTCATATTCTTTCTAAAATAAAATGTGGGAGAGATTGAAGGAGAGAATATCGGAGGTTTAATTAGGACAAACCGCCCTTAGTATATGTATTATGTTTACTAAAGTTGGAAGGCCATGAGGGATTCCAGGTTCAGCCATCTAATAACCACGTGAACCAGTCTCACTAATATACATGGACGGATTAAAATGAAAAAACAAAAAAAACTAAGGGGCCGTTATGAGGAAAAGAGAAGTAAAAGGAGGGGAGAAAAATTTTAATAAGCTGGATTTAAAAAATTAAAGAAGTGGGATTAAAAATTTTTAATTAATCCTTATTACTCTTTTATATTATATCTTCTCTTTATTAAAATTTTAAAACCCCACTTCTTCAATTTTTTTTTTAAAATTGAGCTTATTAAAATTTTCTCTCCCCTCCCATTCCCTTAATTTCCTTCGTACCAAACAAGCCCTAAATAAACAATTTTTTTTTTTTTTGTGGAGAATTACTATTAAAAGTCGGAGGAACTGGGAAGGGGAGGAGGAGTCCGGAACTAGTAACTCTAGTCATAGAGTTCTTAGAAATGTTAAATTAAAATAATAAAATCCCAAAACAAATCAAATCCTAATTTATAATATTAAAAGATAAAATAATAATAAATAACTCAGTAAATCCTAATTCCAATGGATAAATATATATCCTTATTCAGATCCCTAATATTAAGATTCTAGTACATCACCACTAATTTAAACCATGCTTAAGAATCCAATAAAGGGTTAAGCACAGCTCCAATGAAGAACACTGCCTTGGAAGTCTCTTCCCTCATCATAAAGACGAAGGGATGGTCAGCCACAAAGCTTGTGTCCGGCGCACCCGACCAGAAATCAGAGGAGGATGCAGCTTCTGCTCCTTCTTCATCGACTGCAACTAATGCTTTGTGCAGAATTTTTGAAACGTGAAGCTTGTCATTGGAGAAAGAATCTGACACTTCTGTTAGCTCCGCAGGGGTGAAAGGCAAAGTAAGTCCCAATTCTCTCATGGCCTCTTCGGCTTCCAGATTGTAGGAAAACTTAAATTTCGGGATCCAAAGTTCAGCAATTTGCTCTCTCCTTAGCTCAAAATTTTGATTTAGAAATCTGGGATTTGAGTTTAAAGTGTGAATTAGATTTGGTAAGCCGTGCTTCCCATGTGGAAGAAAGAAATACATGGCGAACTTGAAAGGGTTGCTGCCACATTGGTAAGGGATGGAGAGTATTGTATAATTCTCAAAGGAATTGAAATGATTCTCAAAAGATCTGTAATAATATGATCCCCACTTCTTAGAGGTCATGAATGGAACTTTTACGTTCTCTCCATTAAGAAGATTGAAACTTCTAGTTTCAGTCATAGTCGAATCAAACTTTTTATCCCATGCTCCTTTGAAATATAGAGCATTGGCAAGAACTAATGTTGTCTTCGGACTTAAGGAACCTGATGGAAGAATATGCATTATGACTCCATTAGTTGCATTTTCGACCCACCAGTTTGCTTCTTGTGCAACTTCCTCAGCCTAGTGAACAAAATCCATAGAACAAGTCAAATTAAAGCTTTGCACTTTTCTGTACATAGGTCAAGTTTGATGAGGAAACATGTAAAAGGTTGCAATCAAAGAGGAAAACAAAAGAGAGAGTTAAGTGCAGGCGAAGAACACAAAAATGAATAATCAAAATAGTACCTTGTTGGTGAAGTCAACCGCTTCAATTTGGCTTTTGTACACATTTTTGACTATGTCTTCAAAACTAGTCTTCAGACCAAAAGTTTTTTCTACCCAAGCGCCATTAACAAGAGATAGGTTTGGACCTACACTTTTGGTGTCCTCGGCACGCCATAAACGAGAAAGAAATTGTGAAGATAATGAGTTGAGTTCATCTTTACTCTTTGATCCCAGAAACGAAAGAAGCTGGTCCAAGGTTTTTCCTTTAGATCCAGCAGCCACAAGGCTCAATATGAGATGAAGAGATAATGGAGAAACCACGAAATTGGAACCCTTTTCTGTTTGTTTCTGAAGAACTTTGTATGCCAATTGCAAACAGAAATCAGTGTTGAAGGAAGTGTTGTACGTTGAAAAGGATGCCATCCTCTCTTAAGCTTTAGTGTGTTTGTTTTAATTTACTTGACTTTCCTAATTTATAGGAGAATATGTGATGTGATGTGCTTAAAAGTTAAGCCATCTATTGCTTAAAATTTAAGAATATGGTTAGAACATATAAAATATACTTAATATAAAACAGTAAAATTGATTTAATATTATTAAACAACATACAATTTAAAGAGAAATTTACCTTTGTGTTGTAGGTAAGAAAATTATATAGAGAAAAGTCTTAATAAATTCATTTTTATGACGTAACACGATTTTTGAAAATTTGAATTATAAATACAAATATTTAAATTTGACACGAAAATATGAACTTTTCGGAATCTTTCTGCATTTAATTTCCTTATCAGGAATTTATGGATAATTTTCCCAAATTTATTAGAGAATGGGATGGGATGGGATGCGATGAACTCAATTAATAGATATGATTCTTCATTAAGCCATGTATTTGTCAACCTTTAAGCATATCGTTGTATATAAAATATCCTTAAATGAAACAGTATAATTGTTATAAAGCAGTATAATTATTATATACTATTAAACAACATAAAATTTGAAGAAATGATTACCTGTAGATCCTAGGTGTGGAAATTAAGTACAAAGAGGTCCCCAGAAATTCAGTTTTTTTTCCCCACAAGTTTGACTCGTAAATAATATAACTCAATCCATATGTTCATTTAAGGAATCTTAGATTAAATCATGTAGGTCAAAAAATTAATTAAAATTAGTTAAAGAAAATAAATGTGTAAAAATTGAAAGTTTTTTTTTCCAAAATACTTTTATTTATGAGAAAGAGAAAAAGAAAGAGAAAAAGAAAATTATTAATGAAGAGAATTATGAAAAAGAAAGAATGTGTGATGGAGAGAGATTACATTAAATATATGTTCACTGTTAAGCTTAACCACAAGCGCACGGGTTGCAAGTAGTATAAAAAGTATCGCTCTCTCAGAGACTAAGGCCAGATGAGTTAAAAATCACAATTGTGCTGATGATTAGGTTGAGTAAAATTAATGTGTAAATGAAATTGTTTAAGGTACTTTGAAAACAAAGGTAAAAAGGATGCAAAAATAAACTTAACTTTAAGACAAATAAGGATTTACAATTATTTCTCACTATTGTACTTCATAAAACTTGATTAGAAAACTCTCATTTAGTGTTTTAACGATAAATTAAGTCAGTCCAAAATTTACAAATATTGATTAAACTTTCTCAAGTCAAAACCAAGTTTTGTAATCTTAATATAATTTCACAATCTCTTGCTTTTGTTAAAAAGATTACATTTTGAAAACCAAAATCTTGTTTGGACAATGCTAGGTCAATAGATATATCTTTAATCTATCAACAAACTATCAACATAATAGCATAAACTTTCGGTCTAGAATATTTTTACCTAAGTTCAAAAATTGATTTAACTTTCTTAAGCTTTAACCAATCAAACAAATCACTCCAGCCAAGTGGTGGCCAATCATAAGGAAGCACTAAGCTCAAGGTAAAAACAACATAACATTAAGATTAACACTAAAGAGAGAGTTAAACAAGTCTTAATCTATACAATAGATCAAAATAACCTTAGAATGACTATTCTAGCTACACATGTTCAGCAAAAAGTGACAAATACAAGGGTATTATGCAGCCATTGCAGAAATAAAGGAGAAGAGAAGAAAAAAACCAAGGAAAATGAGAAAAGAAGCTTCAAATCTCTTGTAAACTTTAAGCCCTAAGCTCCCAAGCTTCAAAATCTCTAAACCCTAGTAGAGAACTCCTCCAAATAGGTCCCCAAGTCAAAGTATGGCTGAAAGCCATGAGTTTCCCCTTTTGTATGCCCTAAATTTTAAGTTACAATGTAGAATGAATAGCTGCGTAGGGATTGGGTGTTGCGGTGGATTTAACTAGGCTGTGGCGCCTAGTACAAAATACTTCTCCTTCCTTTCTGCTTCAGAGGTTGTGGCAGATTGTTCCAGACACCACGGCGGATTGAGCATTTTTTGCCTTCTCTACTTGGTTCTTTGATGCTTCCTCGCTTTGCATCCATGATCTTTTTCTGATAAACCAAAGTAGGTTAAATATTTCTCCTTGTTGTTCATCTCTCAACTCTCACTGTTTCCTACACCAAAAATTTTAGAAGCATCGAAAAATAATCCCCAAATATTAGCACAAATCAAGTTTCACATTTCAAATCGTATTTTTCAGCTTTAAGAAAATAACCCTACACAAATAGCTTCCAAAACCCACAAAAAGGTATTAAAACGAGTTGAATTGGTAGGAATTTCGAGAGGTTATCAATATAATATTCAGAATATTTATTATCTAGAAAATGATGTTTTGAGAAGCAAAAAATATATATTAGCTATTAAAATAAGTCTTTACTAGGAGCAAAAAGTTATAAAAATTTAAGACATATTGCAAATGTTGCTTATATTTACAGACAATTGGAAGATGATAGTTGTTGCTTATAAAAAGGGACGAATGGATAGAGTAGTAAATATGAACTTCTTTAGATTATGACGAGCAATATATACTAATCTTTTCGACGAGTCTGGGATGTGTTCTCGTATAGAATATGAGAATGATAGCACTCTTTCACTTTACAGTCAAAATGGAATGGTCATGGTGTGGGTAGGCCGTGGGTTAAGGAATGAAGCTAAAATTTTACCAATTAAATTATTATTATTATTGTTATTGATTAATTGTTTAATAAATAATATTTAATGTAAAATAATTTTTTTATTAATTAATATTCAATCAGTTTAATTGGCAGTTAACTGTATCCATTGTAATTACTGGAGCCTTGCGCGACAAATTTGTGGGTTGGATCGAGCTGTTACCTTTTTTGGGTGAATTGAAACCATGCATTAAAATTGTGGGTGGTTCCGGGACTAAATTTAATTTAATTTGCAATATTACATTTTTCTTGGCAAAGTTTAAAAATATTAAATTAGGGATAACTAAACTGCCTACATTTTTTCTTTTGGTGAATAAAGTTTATTTTATATCGGATGGTGTAAATTAGGGGTAAAAACTTACTGATATAAATGGATAGATATCTATGTTAATAGTTAAATGATATATCAATAAAATGATTACGTAGATGTTAATTGGGAAAAAAGAAGAAGCATATCATGGATGACTGACGGCTTTAATTTTGGAGGAAAATAAAATTAATATTATTTTTAAAACAAGCTTGTGCTTCCTATCGGTAACACAGAAATTTCTCACCACTTAGCAAACTTGTATACATCATGCAACATATTCAGTTCAATGACACAAACTGTTATGCAGTCACATACGCATCAACAGACATTGAATCATACAAAATCAAACGACGTTCCTAAAAACTTCCTGATACACAACATTCACTGTTGACGTCTTCATTAACATTTCTTGATCATGTGGTACAATTTTCAACCCATCCATGCTCCTCATTCTAGACAATGCAACATATAATTTATCATGAGTAAAAACAGGTTTCGGGATATACAACCCAACATTCTTTAAAGATTATCTTTGGCTTTTATTGATAGTCATCACAAAACAAAAGAATGTTGAATATTGTCTACGCTTCCTTTTGAATGGCCAGCGGGCTTCTGATGGGTTCATATTCATCCTATGAATGAGAACCTTTTTATTGGGATTTGACTCATTATGTGTTATTGCTTCTATGATAGATTTACCAATGTTAGATATACGAAGGCGTGTACCATTACATAGTCATGATGTTTGATCTATGTTCCGTAACAACATGATAGGTGCACCCACCTTTGATTGTAGTCTATGTGGGGACATGCCAGAACAATAATGGTGTTCAAAAATTCAGTTGAGTATAAGTTCTCCATGCTATCATTGTCTTGAGAAGATTGGCATATTTTATCACAACTCAAGAATTCAACTGTCTCACCTGGAAAGATTGAGCACATGTACTCATTTATGCAATTGACCATTTCAATATGTGCTGCCAATATTGCTCTATTATTGAAATATGAGTTTCATGTCATGTTTTGTAAGAGATCAACATATGTTGCATGAACAATCGCTTCGATAGGATTAGGAGATGGTAGTAACAAAAAAACATGGTGGGCAACACTATCATCCGACTCTCCAACTTTTCCATCATCAACAGATAACAACCAATTTGAGAACCATTCCAACTTCATATTGACATCTGATGTAGAACCTCTTCTTAATTGCATGTTTTTCGTCCACATAAAAATAGTGCAATACTCCCACGGTTTAGATGAATTATTGCATGCATCCACAACATTTTCTCTTGTCCTTTTAGGTATAACATGCAGAATTTGTTTGAAGTCACTACCTATCACTACACATCAAGGTACTAAAAACTAGACCAGTCACTGAATTGGTTGAGACAATGGTTTAAGGGTTAGTGGATCCGACTGGGGTCAACTTGGAGTCAGACCGGTAATAATTAATATATTATAGTTTAATTAAAATGTATAAAAATATATATTTTAATTATGGATACATAATATTCAATCTTTAAATAAATATCTAAATTACAAAACATTTATATGTATATAAATTTTTTTCTCTGTTATTTTTTTTTCCTTTTCTTCTCCTACGTATGACCCGTACTTTCCTCTTGCTTTCTCTTAGTTATTTTTTTTTAGCTCCTTCTTTTACCTCGTCACTTTCCTGTCTCCTTTCCTCACCGATCACGAGCCTCAACAGTCAGTATTTTCTTTTCATTTACCCTTCCTTCACACTCATCACCATTCAGAGCATGAAGGGCAACTTTCTTTTATACTTTGTTCCCTCTTTATTCACCAGTGTCCATGGCTTCTCCCCACAGATTTGCTGAGTTGAAAGTAAAGCATGAATGGCGACGATCTAATGAGTTGCATGGAGATCTTACCATCACAAACTAAGAAGAATGCGGTGAGGAGACAACCACAACAGCAATAGAGTTCAACTTTCAGAGCATAATCTAGCAATGGTTTGTCCCTTTTTTCTCAAGTTTTTGAACC